AAAAAAAAAAAAAAAAAAATCCAATATAATTGGACATGGAAATGGCTAGCACGACACCGGCACGATTGAAAAACACGATTCCGGAGATAAACGAGACGACACGAAAGGCACCAAACAAAAAGATTAGTTAAAATTTGGACTTATTTTCATCTTCAATGATCAAACAAAATAGATAACACGAAATCACAATAAAACACGAACACAACGCGATGGCACGATTCGTCACCCCTCTGTACACTCTCAAGCAGACACAAACCAACCGAAAAAACATCAAATCATCACAATCAACCTACATAAACTCCAGCCATACGAACCATATAATCCAACAACAATCGAGAAACAAGGAATTCCTATAATAAGTCTCGAATTTTCTTTAACCAATTCGTTCACCAAAATCTGATCAGCTACATCCTCGAGGATCTCAACAGCATCACCATAATCAAATTTGGTGTCCGCGTGAATATCATTCAAGTGTTACGCCGTTAAACAGAGAAATGGAATTCACTAGCAAACTGGAGAGAATGAATTTCAAGCCGATAAATTGTGGGAAAGATGGAATTACCTCTACTTGGGGAAGTCGAGTATCTGTCCGCTTCAGATCGATTGTGTGCGTGTGTTCGGAATGAAGACTGAGAATTTGCGAGTAGCAGAAGAAAAACGCTGATAGGATATTTAATTACATTATATCCTCGGGATCGCATGATAACGCTTTTGATTTTTGTGTCCTTTTTCCATATTGGTTTGGATTTGTGAATTGCTAAATACCGCTCCCGGTTAGTATCTACTATTTCCTTTTACGTTTTCGCCCTTTAGCTCTCCCTCTCGGTAGACCTCTTACTCTCTCTCCTATTTCTTTCCTTCTCGAGCTCTCCGGCTCTTTCACGCCTCGTTTCACCTCCAAAAAAATTTGAAAGAATGTCAAATTCTCGCAAGGGTCTAGGCGATGGATTCATGATTGGTCCGGTATGTTTTTTTCTTTCTTTTAGCTTTATAAATGATTTTAAATTTTATATAAAATAATTTGCGGTCACGGCCAGCCATAGATGTTGACCGCGAAGGAGGCGTCCGGACGCAGATCGTGGCCGGTAGCTAGGATTCGACTGCGCCGTTCGCGTCTGGCATTTGTGACTGAATGCACGGTAATCCACCGTCGTTGGTGGCCGGCCAATACCAAGGTTGTTGTCTTCGTCGTCCGATCAATCGCTCGACAGCCGATGACCAGAGGCCGACCAGAATTCAATTTTTTTAAATAATTAAAGTTATTTAAAAATATTTAAATATTTAAAAATTGAATTGACTCAATCTTTTTATTATTAATAATATGTTACTTATTAATAATAGATTATATATAATAATTAAATGTAATTATAAAAAAAATATGATAAAAATATTTTTTTATTAATACTAATTAGTAATAAGAAAATGTATCTAACTTTAATATTTCTAGGAACAAAAAAGTTATAATATATGTAATAAAATAGTTTGTTGAGTACTCATTAGTTTCACAAAATTATAATTAGTATTTTAATATAAGCTGAAAAAATTGTATAATTTTTTTAATTAATTAGTTGTATAATTATATAATCAAAAAGTTGAATTATATTAGTTTTGTGGTTACGAATAATTAAGTTTTAGAAAAAGATTTACTTACAATATTTAATAATGTATTTTAGGAAATAGTAATAATAAATAATATTAATTATGATTAATTTGTGTAATAAATAGTTAATGTAATTACCTTATTAATTAATAAAATATAAGAATTTAAAAAAGTTGTTTACTAATTATTTTTAAAATTGTTGATTTAGACCGCTGGTAGACCTGAGCGAAAAGCCACCGATGAAGAAGTTGCCGAGAATTTTGGTTCTGCACCTCGACACATGAGGAGTCGGTATATAGACGCTTCCGATCGTCGGAAGAGAGAGGAGATGATACTTCAGGCTCACATCAGATAGACTAGCCACGCTGACCAGGCTGGCAGTTCGAGACCCTCCGCTCCACTACAGAGTGGTCAACAATATCGCTTATTCTTGGCTGGCAGTTCAAGACCTCTCGCTCTGGTACTGATTCGTCAGCAGCTGACTTATTTTTATGAGTCGACAGTCGAGAAAGTGCAATCCACAGACTCATCTGAGGGCTATGACTATGCATATGAGCATAACGTTATTCCTTCTCCCACACCACAGGCTCCTGCATGACCTGCACGCCTTGTTCCTCCACGAAAGTCTGGGGGCCGTTTCGCGAGCACTGGATCCTCAGATAAATAATTTATATATTTATTGTTGTTTACCATTAAGTATTTTTATTTAATTATAGCATACCATCGGTAAAGTCATTCACAATATGTCGTATATATATAAATATATATACATATATGTGTGTGTGTTTTATTCTAATATAGGTACTAGCAAACGATCTAGGAGTGAAGATGCTTGGGTCGTTAGAGGCCCAGTGTTCGATGGCTTCATTGATGGAGTGTCATCCCTAGCTTTCTAGGGCATGTAACCTCTTGTATGTGGACTGAAGAGCTTACAGGCATTCTGAAATGCCAAAACAGATTGGGAATGCACAACAAGTTGAGGATTTGACTCTTAAGTATGGATCGCGCTCCACGCGCGCGATCTTATTCGTCAGACCGGGCTGTCACATTTGGTGGAGTCCATGCACGGCCACTGGATACTCCACTTTTTTCTGCATTTGTCGAGTGCTGACAGCCAGATACTAACTTGTTTCACCTATCTTTTAGTGAAATAAGTACCATGCACGATATTCGGGCCATTTTGGGGTTCCTGTGGAGGGAGCCATGGTTACAGCGGACCCCGACGCAGACGCCTGCCATGCGTACTGCATGGAGATGCTGCAGGCCACGAAGACTGAGCTCATGAGCTCGTTCTGGCAGAGTGGTGAGAGGAATCTTGCCGCCATTTTGGAAGCATTTCAGGGGAAAGGCCGGTTGCCTGTGGATGAGGGTACTGTCTGATGTTGATGATGATAACTACCGCTTTGTTTGTTGACAAAAGTGGTAGCAGTGTGAGTCCCAAACTCTTGTACGAGGTGATGGATGACTTGGGTAGTATTGAGACTTATCTTGGGACTCGAGTGCGCTGGCTTACATGTACAAACAGTTAGATATTGCCAACAAAGGGGACGCACAGGAACTGTCTGGATGCATGACTTTTCTGCAGTCCTAGATATATGAGTACTTCCCCTGCTTCCGACCCCAGCGAGAGCGTCTACCTATCGGACCTGACTGTGTTGCACAATCTCGCTCGTGGAGCGTAGGGGTAACGGAGAGGTCAGAACATCACTCCGAGTGCAGTCGTTTGTTGGCCGGCCGAAAATACACCTCGTCAGATGACATTTTTCACCAGACATCCTCTGGTAGAGAAGATTTTACAATTTTCTGAGGTTTTTGGAAAAATGACAGGAGCAAAACGGTTAAACAGGATACATAGTAATAGGGGGCAGTAAATATTAACACCTTTTGAATTTTGTTGGCACTGTTAGGTGTATTCATTCTACGATCGTATAAGACTTCATGGGATTATAATAAGAATCTCCTCATTATATTTGTAACTTGTTTGTTATAAATGTAGGAAAGATAAAAAAAAACTCAATATAGAAATTGGATATAATATATATACTCATTTTCTTTATTTTTAATTACTAGTGGTAAATTCACTTGTTCATAACACTGCCCCATGGAATTACAACTATTAAATGTGCATGTATGCTGCCTTGTTAAAAACTTATCCGAAAAAACACTGTGGGAAAAAATCAAGATAAAGAAAAAAGAGTACAGTCGCACATGCTCCCTCTCGAGTTATCATCTGCTCAAATCCTGAAGATGTCTTATTCCAATGTTGTTGACGTGCTTTCAAAATGTTGTAGCCGAAAGCGTCTTCGTAAATAAATTTGTTGCATTATCTCTTAATCCAGTGTATTGAATTTTGATTTGTTTGTTCCTTTCAAGCTCTTGTCACTATTGATGTATCCTTCTTTGGTTTGAGGGAACCTGCCCCTCACCAGGGTAGACTACCCCTAGACTCCAACTGGAGATCCGCAACATACTCCACCTATCAAATCCCGACAAACCAGGTCCAGGACACAAGACCCAACCCCGACAACGCAATCCAACGACCCCAAAAATGAGAAGAACATGAGAAGGGAGGAGAGTTGAACCACCCCAATCTCAGCACCGGCCACCACCGAGATGATTGGAGCCACAACCTTTTATCACAGCCTCGTCGAAAGCCCTCCACCGCCTAGAAGCCGAGGAATCGCCGAACCCTAACCCACCTTGACAACCCCCGCCACCTCACCCGAAGAAAGGGCGTCGCTACGTCCGACGAGTGACCAAAAGCCAGTCGCATGACTCGGTGAATGCCGCCGTCTTGGTGTCCCCATGGCCCTGCTGGTGGAAGGCACACTTCGCGGCCAATTTATTTATTTATTTTTTTTTTTTTCTGAAATTGGGGGAAGGATTTGTGGAGAGAGAAAAAGGATAGAGATGCAGAGGACGTTCTTATATAAATTTATAGGTTCGCTTTGTTAAATATTTTATTTGTAAATGTAGAGTATTTAATTGATGGAATCAAGTGTAGATTGGACAAATTGAAAAAAAAAAAAAAAAAAAAAAAAACTTCGAAATCGCCTTGCTGATCTGATTGCAATTGATATTATATCAAAATGAGTTATTTTCAATGCGCTTTGAAATCGCCTTGCAGACCTGATTGTCATCGTCATTGTACCAAAAATGAGTCGTCATTGTACCAAAATGAGTTTTTTCAATGTGCTTTGAAATCGGCTTGCAGACCTGATTGTTGTACCAAAATGAGTTTTTTCAGTGAGCTTTGAGCATTACTGAGAAATTGTTTAGGGGATCTCTCATCCCACAATTACAATACATTAATCTTTAGAGTTCTGTTCTTATTAAATGAAATGGCATCAAAGATGCACTTGTTTCTTTTAAACTTTCCCAATTTGACTTATATAATGAGTGATATCATGAATTGAACGTACCATCTACCTCATTCATTAATGCCAACATTTACAACATTGTTAAGTCATGCAAGCATTTGAAAAGAAACCCCACTGATCTCAGCATAATAAAAACAAACTTTACAACAATGTACCCGTTACAAAGCAGCATGATCTGCCACCATACTTAATCAAAAACTCTATATAAAGAACCAAATCCCGTCGAAACTAACTCAAAGAAAGTGAAAAAAAAAAGAAAAGAAAATTTACTCGACAAAATTGTTCCAACCGGGAAAAAAAGACTTAGTTAGAGACACGATATCTACGAAAGACCCAGCACTTATATACACAAGATCAGGTGTTTTTTTCCTGGCGCAAAGGCCAGACACATTAACACTACACTGCAAAATTAACACTTTCAGATGACAAACGAAACAAGAAACGTCGGCAGCACCTGACCAAAGAGCATATATACGTATCGTGTGCTTCTCACTTCTTTGGCGGCATTTATGATGTCTCCAGATCTTTAGTAAAACCGCAAAAGCATGCTTTTCATCTCAAACATGATGCTCACCGCTAATCCTTTTTTTTTTTTTTTTCCCCAAATGAGAGTGTAAATATCAGAAAAACCTTCTCCTGAAAGTCCTGGTCGTAGCTTGATAAGATCGCATGAGCAGGCCAACACCGATTCCCACGCTAAGGCACATGCCGAGACCTATTCCAACACCGACCCTTACACCGGCATTGAACCACGTGAGCTGACCATCTTCACCTGGGTACATTTCTTCAGATTGATTGCCATATGCGATTTTCCCGTCCGAGTCGTATTCATCCACATCAGACGGCATGGACTGCAAAAAAGTGATTATGTGGAAACTCAGAGGATTAAGAACTTGAGGTACACTAAAGGTCAACTCTGTTATTGACAGATAACCTCAAAGAGTTGATTACCATGAAAATAGCAAGAACTATTTATGACATTACGTGGAAATATCTCAAAGTTTTAGGGTTCGGAGTTTGGAAATTCCACTCAATTCACCAATCAAATGTAATGTGTCAGCTTCAATTAAATTTAAAGTAGGAAAGTTTCTAACGCTCCTCCAAATAAAGATTACCAAAAACATATTATTCATTGTACAAAATTTATTTTTGGTTTCAAAAATATTTCTTTCGTAGAAACAGGTCTTACATATCATATATTAACCTATCTATAGAAAGATTACTCCCAACAGCAACTTAAAAAGGAAATAGAGTGGAAGATCTAAAAACCTACACTTTTGAACTCTTTGCCAGACACTTCATGTTTAGTCATTTGACACAATGTTCAGAACAAAATGAAGTTATATACAGTGCAACTATGCAAGTTGATATAGCACCGATAAAAGCTTGGCGGAGCGGTTACAGTAGTTAGCTCGGATCAACGGGTCCGGGATAGCTTCAAGCTCGACAGTAGGGTTGACCCTGGGAGCTCGGTATGGCAGCTCGAGGTACACGTCGGTTCTGGTTTCGAGCTAGCAAGATGAGCTCATCTAGGAGCTCGATCAAAGGAGGGGTTGTCACGCCCTGAAGGTCGTGTAACAGAAGTCGTATAAGCGACTTGATAAGAAGTATGGTGGCAGAGTTATGAGGTCGGTAAGATGACCTAAGGACCTGCTGAGTAAAAGGAAATAGATTCCTACTAGGATAGTAAGTACATCTCGCTAAGGAATTGATTAGAGGATAGAAGATCTCAGAGACGTGTTATACTAGGAAACGAGATATGGAAAGATCATTTCCTATTCACGTTACGTGGGTAAGAAGACAAACTCTTTATAAAAGGAAGTTATCAGGTCCTTTAATGACTTAACGCATGTCGCATAATACACTTTACATCCCAATTTGTACAGTTCACGAGTTAGATCTAACTTGAGAGTCGGAGGTTTTTCCGCCGAGACCCCTATCGGTGTATTTAAGTCACCGGAGCTTAGATTTAAGGACATTTCGTGAGGTTTCCAGCCTAAAATGCGGTTTGGGAGCAATTTGCGTATCACAAGTGACTTGAGAGCGTTTAAAGGATCTAGTGAGTATGACCTATTTATAACATCTGCAGGATCGGAACCCCTCGGTGATGAATTTTAAAGTTGACAAACTACAACTACATTTCATCATCATTGTTGGAGACATAATGTAGCTCAAAACAAAAGAGCACAACACAGACGTGGCTACCTGGGCCGACTAAGTGGGTTCACGGTCTTGAAAACCCTCAAATCGAAAAACCGTCCTGAATGTTTGGTGGTTGTGGCTTTGGAACCACTGGGTCCGGTTCAGCGCTTTCTATTTAAAAATAAAAAGTTTCTCACCAACCCCCAATTCGTGTCGGATTAATATCGAAGATTAATCATGCGACGGCTACAAGATCCAATGACTTGAAAAAAAAAAAAGACCGCTAGAAGTGGTTCTGACCTGCATGTTCTGCGCCTAACATGGCCAGTCCAGAACCCACCCAAATTTCAAAATTTAAAATTTTAAATTCTCGAAAGGGAAACCCGGCAGATCCTCGAGGATTTTTTTTTATTTTTATTTTTGGCATGAACAGTCCTTGTATAACCTGAAACTCTGGTCAACGGGCCCGGGCTGTGAGTCAACGAACAGACCCGCCGGTTTTGCTGGTCGATCTTGCCCGGTGGACACGTCCAGCACAAACAAAATGTTTTTTCATTTCTTTCTATATGCATATATACATCTATATCAACAGTCAAAAGGAATCTTACATCATAATGATCATTAACAAAACAAACAAATACTTCACATACAAAATCAATGAAGGTCCTACAGTCTACAACTTCCATTGACCCAAGTTACGAATTGTTGTAGCATTCCTCTTTTATCTAAAGCTCCCAACTATGTTGCCTCCATAGCATCACCATGTTATCGGTAAAAAAAACAAGAAACATATTTACCTAGTAACAATGCCAAAAGAAAAGGACTGCAACAAACCTCTCAAGCTACATCAGTGTTCTAAAAGTTGGGTTAGGTGCTAGGCGGCACCTAGGCACCCCGATTTCGTCTAGACACCCTTTTAGGCACTAGGGCAGTTCGGTACAATAGATGACTGGCAACACGGAGCCTAGGCGGCAGCGAAGTTAGTCACACCTAGACTAGTTGCACGTTCTAGACAAGTGCCAGATTAGGGCCCTAATATATATATATATATATATATATATATATATATATATAATCTTCTAATTTATTTTCGAAGTATAACAAATTTAGTTTTTTTATTTTTATACATAGAATATACAATAATTATTAGAAAAATAATAACCATGCAAAAATCAATACATTAGTTATGAATACATTATATTTTGAAAAATCTTTTTATTTAACAGTACTAATAGTATCTTTTATATAATATATCTTGTAAATTATGTATGATAAAAATATAAATAAATTTATTAACAATTTTTTACCCTGCCTAAGCCCAGGCAAGCCGAGGCCCAAGCCCACCGGCAAGCGCCTGGCGAGCGCCTACGTCTTCTAGAACATTGAGCTAGATAACGAGAAAGAAAACTGGACAAGTCAATAACCTTGCTGCCGCAGTTCTACACTTACAGCTGAGATGTAAGAAAAAAATGATCATACTAATAAAAAAGTAAAACCGCTACGTATCAGTATCACAGATATAAACATTTCAACTTCACGGTCATTTGCAAGGTTGGGTTACCTCAGATTATATACCTATTATCGCATCACATAATTGGTCATGGATTTGTTTGTCTAAGTAGTTCTATGATATCCTTTCAAATATGTCCTACACAGAATAGCTATTATTCCTCCAAAGTTTATATACCGAACCGTGCTTCACTTCAATGGTGACAATTAATAGCTGTACTCTACAGTACATCCTACTTGAGCCAGTAGCATTACTAAATCCTACCATGCTTCGAGATGTACAACTGAATGTACCTGTTTCAACTTCAGCCACATGTAAGCCAATTTGCCTTTTTAATTGATAACCACACAACATAGCTCAAACGTGCAACAATAGGAATAACATCATGTCCTTATATGAAGCTAGAAAACGATAAAGAAAATAAACGTTAAAATAACTAAAACTAAACACAAGTTACCTGCAATTTCCTATGCCTCACCACCCCATTGCACCGATTCACCTGCTCCTTCCCCATCTCTTCATCCTCAGGAATCGAGTCCAGAGTAATCCCCTGCCTCACCTTCTTCCTCGGACTAACCAAAATCGTCTTCATCAAGATCACTGGAGTACCCGAGCAGCACCCGGCTATATAAACCTCGATCGAAGGCGAGCAAGCCCCTGTCCTCGGGTGGAGAAGGGCCGACCTTCCATCGGCCACTGAGGTCGCCACGTAGCACTCCAGGCTCCAGCCGGTCCTCGAATCATTACCCGATGCATTCCCGCCGGCCCACGTGGGCCCCACCTCGTCTCTCTCCAGCGAGCCGCAGAGGACCATATCCCCATCATGACCTTCCTCGCAGACCTCGAACTCCGCGGGCCCCGACACCCGGATGCTATCGGTGCTGACGTACGTCACCTCGGAGGAGCCCCTGTCGACCCGATCGCGGCGGAGGCTGACGCATACGGGTTCGGACGGCGGGATGCGCGCGCCGTTTATCTCCAAGAAGACGCCAGTCTCGCGGCGGAGATGCCGGAGCTTCAGCCGGTCGGGGAGGGCGTCTACCGCGCAGGGCGCTATCCGCACGTAGAAGAGGCGGATTTCCAGGCACCCGCCGGTGAAGCTTGGAGGAGGCCTGTAGATGGCTAGCTGCAATTCATCATCGCGCCTGCCCATTGTTTTTTTTTTTATTCCTCAAATCAAAAAACCCTAAGATTCGAATTGAGTGGGATCGAGATAATATTAGGGTTCTTTCTCCAAAGGTGAAAGCAAGCTTCGGACAGCCTAGCGTGGAACATCGAATTTCGAGGCATCCATGGTTGGGAATATTTAAGGGCTGCAGAATCAGGGTTCCTTGTTAATGGAGGATAGTTGGGGGAAACTGATGGGGCGGGAGGGAGAAGGAAGAAAACAGGGACGAGTGGAGCGTCTCGTCACGCGCGAGTTGGGGCGTGGAATGGGAAAAATACAAAAAACATCCCCTAACACCCACGTTGGCGCGCACAAGTGGGAAAAATACAAAAAACATCCCCTAACATCCCCTAGAAACGCTTTATTCTCCTGGTGGGAGCGCAAAATTCTCCTGGTGGGATGATTCAATATATTCTTCGCTTTTGTGATTGTTACTGCTATTCTCTTGTTGAGAGCAAATCGGAGTAGTGCTCTCGTTTGTTATTTTGCTTTTTTCGTTTCTGTTTCCTGTTCCCTCAGCTCGTTCCTGTGAGTTAGGGTTCTTTCTTGTTGTTTTGGGGCTTTTTTAATTTCTTGTGCCATGGATTCAAATTCATCAAAAACTCCGGATTCAGAGAAATTCATGGACGCCATTGGCAAGATGATGAAGAACATAGAGCTAGAAGGCGAAGAAAGTGGTATTATAGAAATAGAAGTGAATGATATCAAAACAAGTGCTGAAGAGTGTGATCGAAGCCTGTTTGGCAAAATTATTGGGGATAGAAAAGCATCTTTATTTGGGCTGAAAAGAACGATGAGTGCGATCTGGCAAATCCAGCAACCCGTGGAAATTCGTGAATTGAAGCAGAACTTCTTTCAGTTCATATTTGGCAACTCGGAGGACAAACTCAAGGTCGCTTCGGGCATCAACTGGATATTTGATAATCAATATCTGATCCTTATGGAGTGGGAAAAAGGAATGGGATCCAAACATTCGGGATTCAACGAGCTTAATCTTTGGGTTCGAGTTCAAAACGTGCCTCTTAATTGGATCAGCACTGAAGTTGGTCTAAAAATAGGCAAAATTTTCAAAAAGGTGAAAAATGTATCAGTGGTTAAAGCAGGAGGTGGGAAAAGCAGTTACATCAGGCTTCTCGTCACAGTGGATCTAACTAAGCCTCTGCCCAGATGCACTTTCATGAAATTGCAGGAACAACAAGAACTAATTGCGTTTCAATACGAGAGGCTTGTTAACCTTTGCTTTTACTGTGGCAAAGTGGGGCATCTAGACAGAGATTGTGGGAAAAGGATTTCTGATATTCACCATGGGTGTCTTCGTGAAGGTCAATATGGGGAATGGCTTAAAGCATCAGACATTGGTAGCTATCCCAGAATAAGTCCCAACAACACTCCTCAAAAGCATGATGTTAGCTCAAAAAACCCTGAGATTTCTGCTGATCAAGAATCATCTAGCAAGGACAATTTTGCCAAAGGGAAAGACAAAGAAATTGTGAGTGAAGGAGCAACCAGACTTGAACTAGCAATACAGGAAGGGGCCAACTCCCACAACACCCCGGCTGAAGGTAGTTCTAATATTTCAAAGCCTACCCAGCAAGTCAATGTGCTTTCATCCCCAATTAATCAAGATACAGATGCTGGAGATGATCAGTTCATGCGAGTTGATGCTAGTATTAAAGCTGATCTCATAATGGATGATGACATTCCTCAAAGAGATATCAATCAAGTGCAAGAGGATATTAATAGCAAAAGAGAGAGAACTAGCCAAATTAGTGGCAAAGGCTGGAAAAGACTCAAAATGCAGGAAAGCAGATTAACCAGACACTCATCTCAGCAGGTAGAAGGCAACATTCCAGAGCCCTTGAAAAGGGTGAGAGATCAATCCTTGCTGAATTGTGATCCTGTTTTAATTGAAGACCAGCTTGACAGAAAGTCCAAAAGAACAAAAAGCAATAACTCAAAGGTGGAGGAAGCCAGCCTCAAATGGCCCCAAGGTGATCAATGAAGATGATTTTATGGAACTGTAGAGGTTTGGGTGGGCCCTCTACAGTCTCCCAGTTGAAGGATTCTATTAGAATTCACCAGCCCAGTTTCATTTTTCTGTCTGAATCAAAAAAACAAAATAATTTTGTTAAGTCTGTATGTATTAAGCTAGGCTTTAGTGGTAGATGGCTAGCTGAGGACCCCTTGGGGATTAGTGGTGGCCTTGTTTTGTTGTGGGATTCTAATATTAATATTTTGCAAATTATTCAGCATTCTTTTTGTTTTGAAGTGGAGATCAGTAAGCCTAATGGTTTGGGTTCTTTCTGGGCGATATTTGTGTACATGAACACTGACAGAGTTATCAGAGAAGATCAATGGAGTTATCTAATTCAGGCCAAAGCCAAATGGGGGCAAGAATGGATTATTGGAGGAGATTGGAATGCCATTGTGGATTCCAGTGAAAAGAAAGGGGGGAGAGACAAAAGCAGTGAAGACATGAGAGCCTTTCAGAACTTTATAAGTTCTATGGGGATGGTGGAAGTGAGAATGCAGGGACATCAGTTCACATGGTCTAATAACAGATCTAAAGAGAACTTCATAGAAGAAAAACTTGACCGAGTTTTTGGATCTCTCAAATGGTCCTCAAATCAGTGCAATGCAGTGGTGTTGAACTGTTACAAAACATCCTCTGACCACAGCCTCCTGGTCTTATCTGATGATTCAAGCAGCAGTAATCATAAGAAATCCAGATTCATGTTTGATAAAAAGTGGCTAGCCAATCAAGATGTGAAGAAGGTGGTTCAAGAAGCCTGGGAACCTCATTGTCTGGGCACTCCTATGTTCAAGTTCATGAGCAAAATCAAAAGCACCAGAGTTGCCTTGCTAAAGTGGGGTAAAAATCTCAAATCAAACAATGCCAAAAATATTGAAAAGCTCACACTCCAGCTGGAAGAAATGAGACTTTTGAGTGATGGTAAAAACTGGGAATGCTGGGAGAAGATCAAAAGGGAATTGCAAGAGGCTCAATGTGCTGAGGAAATATTTTGGAAGCAAAAATCCAGGAATTTATGGTTAAAGGAAGGTGATCAAAACACCAGATTCTTTCATGCTCTTACCATTCAAAGAAGGAGGCTCAATGCTATTACCAGACTTAATGGAGCTGGGGGCAGAATTTGTGATTCTATTGCTGAGATTGAGGATGAAGCTTGCTCCTTTTTCAAAGAGTTATTCACATCAGAAGGCTCATCTGAGAATAATGAAATTATTCAGCTTATTCCTAAAGTTATTTCTCACTCCATTAACCAAAATCTGATTGCTCCTGTGGATATTGAGGAAATTCAGGCTGCTTTATTCAGTATGAGCCCAGAGAAAGCTCCAGGAGTTTCAGGTATGACTCCTCTATTTTTTCAACATTTCTGGCCTACTATCAAGGAGGATCTTAGTGAAGCTGTTATGAATTTCTTTGAGTCTGGCAAGCTTCTGAAAAGCTGGAACCACACCATTATCACCTTGATTCCTAAGTGTGCAAATCCTTCCACCCTTAGTGATTTCAGACCTATAAGTCTTTGTGAAGTTGCTTACAAAATCATAGCAAAAATCATTGCTTCTAGACTGCAACCATATCTTCATATTTGTGTCAGTGAAAATCAAGCGGCATACATTCCTGGCAGACAGCTTTTGGATAATGTGATCATGGCTCAAGAAGTTATTCACTTTTTAAATAGACACAGGTCTGGGAAGCATGGTTATTTAGCTCTGAAACTTGATATGATGAAGGCATATGACAGACTTGAATGGCTTAGTTTAAAGAGAATATTGCTGCAGTTTGGGTTTCACAAAATCTTTGTTAACTGGATCATGATGTGTGTCTCCTCCACTTCATTCTCTCTCAATATCAATGGAAACATCTGTGGTTACTTTGAAGCTTCTAGGGGGATTAGACAAGGGGACCCACTGTCCCCTTATCTATTTATTCTTGTGTCTGAATTGTTTTCCCAACTAATCAAAAAGGAGATTGCTAATGGATATTTAACTGGGATCAAACTTGCCAGACAAGGACCTCAGCTATCCCACTTATTATTCGCAGATGACTCCTTACTGTTTTGTGGAGCTGATACATCATCTATTGCAGCTATCCTCAGAATTCTTAACTGCTATCAAGAGCACACTGGGCAGAAAGTTAACTTCCTGAAATCTTCTATATTTTTTAGCAAGAATGTCTCTTCTTCTGTGCAAAATGATATAGCTCAACTCCTTCAGGGTATTCAAGTCCACAGATCTTCCAAATATCTAGGACTCCCTTTGGGTGTTGGCAGGTCAAAAAAGCAGACTTTTGACTTTGTGATTGAAGCTGTGAGAAAAAGAGTGGCAAACTGGAAAAATAACTTCCTATCTTTGGCAGGCAAGGAAGTATTGATTAAATCAGTTCTATCTGCTCTTCCTATCTTTTCAATGTCTTGTTTTGCTTTGCCTAAATCAGTTTGTCAAGAAATTGCTTCTATATGTGCTTCCTTCTGGTGGAAAAGTGGAGGTGAGAAATCAGTTGGTATTCATTGGAAAAAGTGGTCCCTGGTTACACTGCCTAAGAAGATGGGAGGTCTGGGATTCCATGACCTCCAGCTTTTTAATGATGCTCTGATTCTGAAACAGATATGGAGAGTTATTTCTCACCCCAACTTGCTTGTCAGCAAACTCCTTAAAAGCAAATATTTCCCCCAAGGAAGTATCCTTCAAGCTGTGGTCAAGCAAAATGCCTCATGGCTCTGGTCAACATGGATGACAGTCAGAGATAGATACAAGCAACAGTTTCAAATTCAGATTGGGGATGGCCTTACAACTCATATTTGGAAGGACCCATGGACAAGTTCTGACCTTCTCAGCCAATGCCAATATGCTAATCTTCAAGAGGCTGATGTTCAATGGGTGTGGGAA